GACGGTATCGTCCGTACCTAGGTAATTGTGCTTACGATCGGACAGGGGAACATCAGATGTTTCGATATCGAGGCCAGGGCAGCGCCACTATGTCGATACATCCTACAAAAGTCAGACCCGCCTACGTTTGTTCGCCTTCAATGGGTTCGATGGCTTCGCAGCTGCCTTTACCCAGTGTTTCGATGGTTGTATTCATGGATGTAAAAGCTTTTTGACAGCAGCTAGACCGAAAGTTGATCTCATGAGTGCTATTGGCATAGACATTGACAATTAAGCGTGTGCAAACGCTACCTACTGAAGAGAACTAGATGGTTTCTTCTACATTATCAATACATCGGACCCGGACTCCTAACAAGCCCGGTAACTCGAACGCGACAATAAGGCCATGGTGGTTTGACGTGTCAATGAGCTTGAATTCTGCTGCGATAGTCATCCCTTAAGGGAAGTAGCGGAGGGCTGAAATGGTTGCAGACAAATTCCACGCAACCAAGAAACTAGATAGACAGGTTTGAGATTGAGGCTTGCTGACATTCAGATCGTCACATTTTATTCATTGGCGCTTCAACAATGAATTTTGCACAGGTCAATGGCCACTGTATCGATTTAATGTATTCTTGGCATTAGTCGCGTCTCAGCTTGTATCTATGCTAAAACCTTCCCTGAATCATCCATCAAATGCTTTATTCTCCGCGTCTTTGGATCTTCGCTAAGACTTGCACCCGGTAGAACGAGCTCTGAGAGAACTGGCTGTGAGTATTCAAAGTTCGTTTCGTCTATTGACTCGGTGTCACTTTCCGGCTCTTCTATGGTCACATAACGTCCGACAGTATTCCGGATCTCGGCACTGAGTTGTTTTCTCATGAGAGAAAGCATGACAATAGCGATATAAGCACTCTTTGACTGCTCATACACACCGTTAAAACATAGAATGAGTGTTGAGAGAAGTGCCTCGCTTGTATCTTTCCGTTCACTGGCTGGGTCTTGCTCGAGTTGTCGGATGGGTTCTAGAGTCAGGTTGGCGAGGTGGACCAAGAAGATTGTGAGCGTCGAGTCATAACTTTCGAAGCTATGGCGAAGATAGTATATACGTAAGATGCTTTCTAAGTGAACGCTGGCTTCTGTGACAATCTGTTGTGCCATGTTGAGTTGGTTTTGCGTCAATGACCGTGCACCTCCATCTTCAGAATATATCTGAGACCTGAACAGAGTTATCAAGACAGCATGATATTCGCAACTATAGACGTATTAGCTTCTATGATGCACATGTGTGAGAAGGCCACTCACTGTAGTAGCAGGTGAGAAGGGTGCACAATCCACCGAGGTTGGAGTTGAGTAGGCAAACCGCGATACCAAGTTTCCAGTTTTGCTTGAATGTGTAAAGCTGCGCCCCACGGCATCTTCTTCGAGTCTTCAAGTCTACTAAAGCACATCACACCGATCTCGTTTTGGATCACCCGCAACTCGCTCAAAGCTTTCATTCCATGACCGAAGTCGGTCATGTAATGGTTTCCATCTGCCGGATAATTTAATACTATATCCCCGTACCACTCTGACTTGCCGTGGACGTCAGGAAGCGGATCTGCTGGGATATCTAGAAGACACGGCGGCTTAAAGTAGTAGTAACTCTGTAATCTGAGAAAGGTTAGCCATGGGCTACTGCATATTGATTAGACTTACGATAGCCATGAAGACAGCCCCCATGCAGTGAAAGATTTTGCGTGCTCAAATTTGTCATGATCCACCCGGGGTGCAAAAAGCCTCATTTTTTGTGCCATACTGAGAGCTTTGAGCATATAAGAAAACCCAACGGTGTCATGGCCAAAGTCGTTCATTGCAGCATTGATCAGACAACCAGCTTGAACAGTGGTGAGTTTGGGCGCTCCGTCCTCTAATTCCCACAGTCGTTTTGCTTCTGCTAAGAATCGATATGACAGACTGTCTGGATTCCAGAACCTGGTGTGATTACTGAGCACTCGAAAGCTGGCCTACAGTATATTAATGAACCCCCGTCTACGTCAATGAGACATAGTTACTCACACAAGCTTTAGCCAAAAGAGCATTGACAAGTAAATGAGAGCAAAACTCGGTTCTTCTTGATACCAAGTCTTCCAGAAAATAATCTTTGTGAAAAAAGAAATGCCGTGGATACTGATTGATGAAGTAGCCTTCGATGATGTTGCGCAGCAGTCGATCGTTAGAACTAACACTGGTCCAATGCGAAGGTTGTGCATCCTCGAGTAGATTGTCAACCATCCTGGCCGTAGATAAAGACCTTGCGTAATTACTCTTTTGCAGAGCTACGTGTGTTTGCGAGGTACTTCTATCGTAATCGGAGGCTTCGATTGCTTCATAGACAAGCGACTGGAAGTAAGTACTGTCTTGAAGGCTTGCCGGTATCTTGTCCATGTACGGAAAGTGAAAGCGCGAGGACGCTTGTGGAACATGAGAAAGCTCCAGGATAAAACTTCCCTCTTGAATGTGTCTTATCACAGCTTCTGCATTTGCACCTGCTCGAATGCGGTGAAAGATGTCGGCTGCATCTCTCTCAGGCAGGGTTTGCAACATATCAAACAGTTCTTCCTGTGCAGTACGTTTCTGTTTGAGCTGCTGATATCTACGCTTGAATTGACGCGATTCAGTCTCACCGTGACGGCACTCAGTATCTCGCGTCACGCACGCAGTGCACCTAGGCTTTGACCCGTCGCACTGTTGCTATGTCAGCTAAGATCAGAGAAGCTGCAGGGCATATGTACTTGCTTTTGACTTGCGAGCTCGACAAGCCTCGCAAGCGTTGAATCGAGTAGCCTTTTGCTTTTCTGCTGAGTCTTTGCGGATCCCACCAGTAGGGGCAGGTAAGAGTGAACGCAATGGTGGTGGAGTTCGTGCAGATCCTTGTTCCATTCCTTCCAGAGCAGTGACGTCAGCTGTTTTATAGAGGACGTTCCACTGTCAGACCGTCTGCATGACCCTAGGCTGGCCACTCATATAAGAGCGTAGTGACAAGAAGTATGAGTCTTGGTGTGTAACTAGTATGGGAGGCGACTCGAAGAGGAATTTCGGATCGAAGTTTCGTGGCGCCACTTCGGCGCTACTGCCGCAAAGCCAATCAGCTTCAGTATCGAGATCTTCGATTGCCAGTAGCTCGCCCAATTGCGGGCATATTAGCGTGTTTGGCCATCGGCATCACTTAAAAGATCAAACATTTTGCTATCTTGTTGAAGCATCAGTAATATGGTTCTGGTGAGCATTGCCGCTATATCTCCACCTCCCCTAAGCCCGGTGCATTTTGGCTTCGTCCGACTGATCAGAAGAACCGGCTGTGCACCCTGTCCCCGAAACTGTTCGAACTCACAACCTGCACTCACAGCATCATCATTGTGTAGGTCACCGGTACAAAAGATAAATTGCTTTCATTGACTAATTGCGCGGCCAAGCGTTTGTATCTCATCTCCGCAGTCTACACTCGATACGCAGTGGGGTTCTAATGCAATATGGTGACACAGCGAACTCTACCTACTGGATGACATCTCTGGTTCACCTCCAATCTCACACTGGACTGTTGAGGGATGGTTTTGTGAAACTGAAACACTCTAGAATTCTTTCCTCTGTCGGGAAGCACCCCGAAATGCGGTAAATCGAGCACTCGTTAAGGCACGCCACCCCCGCTGACCACTGTTGTGGTTGTCTGCCACGTTTAGCTATCATTTGAAAAGTTTGAGCGACAGGAACGAAACACTGTTTGATTTTGCTAAGATGATATAAAAAATTGTATTCATATAACCACAAGTACATCGCGTAATATATCTTCCACGAGTCAAGCACTTCTCTTAGATAATGTCTCTCCAGGGTTCAAGTCATGGTGGGGTAACAGCGGAAAATGTAAGTTGGGAAGTTCACTAGTGCTGTACCTTTTTCTAGTGGTATCAGACATGGAGATGTAACAATCTCGGAGGCAGGTCTGAGAGCAATCTGTTGAACGCGTGACACTAACTGAAGCCAGCCATATCGTTCCACGACATATTGCAGCTAGACATAGCAGAAGGCTTCATAGATCGCTACAAGCAGTGGCTGGTCAGGGCCGCTCTACTGTGCGGCCTGCTATCTGCGTCTCGATCTTGGTGTCCTATACGACATCTAGGCAGCGTGGATGTTGATTCTGCGAAACAGTTGAACAAGCTTTTGGTAATTCATTACAATCTAGCAATAATTGCATCGTGGAGTAACGCGTCGATAGTGTAGCAAAGGCTCAAGTAGTCGATGAATATGCTGCGTGCTTGAGAAGGATGACTGACTGAAGCCTTACATTCCTTTTTTCTTTCTTCCTAATGCAAAAGAATGGGAACAGCAAGACTAACATTACAACTTTGATTGACATAAACATTTGGCGCCTGTGTGTTTCCTAGATGAGCCTGTGGAGAAAGAACATTGAGTATGCGAGAAAGAGATGGAGAGATGGGGGTAGGCAATTCAGACGACAGTTACAGGGGTCCGCTGGACACCTTCCGCCTCTACGCGGCACGTACGCGCCGTACCTTACTGTCTTTTCGCGCAACCACCAGCATTCGCGACCTATACATTCACAGCCCAGGCTCCTTTACCAACCAGATCAAGTTACATCATCCCGATCATTAGACTTTGAGCCGCCGCCTTTCCTCTTGTCTTGTGAGATAAATGTCACGATTCGGCCCTTCGATGTTAGGCATCCCATACAGCAAGGCCGAGTAATGAAGCCGTACTACGATTATGGCACTGCCTCACACGTTGCCGGCCTACGGTCGCATTAACGCAACTTGATTCGCGCCTACGGTCTGACACCGTGCTTCTTGACGCGGCATATCGTGGTTATCGACAAACTGGAATGGTGGATGGCCTAACGTCTTCATAACAAAGAAATCCTCGCCGATGAGTTCGACATCCCCTCAAAACGTCGCGCATCGTCCAATTCGCGTATCAGACTCTATACCGTGATCGTTCGAGTCTCAACATTGGCTTGTCCCAACATGCGCGGAGATTTGCTGTCGTCAGCATGTCTGCTCCTCGCAACTACACTACCAGCACACGCCGCTTTCTCTGAATTCTTCTTCGCGGGTAACAATGGAACCAGCGCTCTAAAGACCTGTCCCGAATCCTTGTTCGAATGTGCTCCTCCATCAGTCTGTTCATTTGACGATCGAACTCAGAAGTATTATTGTTGCGAACCTGGAAAAACAGACGCCGTTTGCTGGGGGCCTAATTCAGGCTGCGATGGAGGAGACAGTACTAACCCTTCAGGTGGCCAACAAGCCTGTTCATCGGGAGCCAACACCTTTTTTTGTTTAAAATCAAGGTTAGCAAGCGTCTAAATGGCACGATAATCATCATTGAGTATATAACTGACAACGTCTAGTGAGACCTGCACGGAAACAGCAGACCAAATTAACATCTGCTGGAGCCAACTGGACAATCCGGTCGCCTCTCTAAATGCGACCGCCGTAAATGCAACAGCGCAATCACTTGAATCGAATCGACCATCTGCAGCTACATACGCAGTCGACTTGTCTGCTCTACAAACGCTCACGCCAACCGCCGCTGCTTCGTCATCACATAACCCAAGCGCGTCAGGACAACAGCCCATCGTTACCACAACGTCATCTACGTTGTCTCAAACAACGGCCTCGCACTCTGAGGCAACTTCCAATAAAAGCAGCACAGACGGAGGTCTATCAAGCGGCGCAATAGGCGGCGTGGTCGGTGGGTTGGTGGGTGGACTGGCTCTACTCGGTCTGGCTGGGGGTTTCTTTTGGCGCAGATTGAAGAATGGCAAACGCAATCCCTATAAGCCGGCGAATTTACACAATTCAGCCACACACTCCGTTGGTTATCCAAGTGAGATGGACTCAAACCATATCTACACGTCATCACCAGCGACTGAAAAATACGGATATGCAGTCAATCCTGTGTCAGAAGTGGCCGCAGATAGAGCACCAGCAGAGCTCCCAGAGACTTCGTCGCACAGCAGATAGACGGAACGACTTAACAATAAGTTGGAGGCCGCATCGTAGAAAGCAGCGCATGTTGCACCGCAATCACGCCTTTAATATTCGACTATATGAGACTGCACGTCAAATTTCACCATCAGTCGTTCTCTGTACACCTCAGTAATCGCGCACACAAGATCACTCTGTCCTCAAATATTTTTTCAACGAAGGTCACAAACAACCGCTTTGAAATTATCCGTCTTCAGATGTGAAACTTGTTGGTAAGCTCTTGTGGGCACAGAAGTGATATGACCGATCGCGACAGCAGGCCATTACATAACTACAAAATCACAAAGTTTCCTCTCTTGTGCCCCATCATACATTCTATAGATCTCTCCAAACTCTCTCAGACCTCGTCCCCTTCTCAAAACTCGGCCAATCTCTTCCTCTCGCCACAATCCCCATTCCACCCTTCACCCACCTCACATACCTTCCATAAAGTCCTGCTACGCTTCTCGTTCGAAGATATAGCTCTCTCTGCCACTCTGGTCACCTCCAACCAAAGTCTTTCGCCCGAGCAGTCGAGTGTTTACGATGTTCAATGGTAATCGGACCATCAAAAGCGTTTCCAGATATGACATGAAGCTCTGACGTAGTGACGCTCCTTCCACCTGTCTTACCAGCAGTTTTTCGTACAAAACTTAGCCCACTTTAGAACGGCCGGCTAGGGCGAAATGAAACCATAAACTTAACTTCAGGTACTACGACACCTTTGTTTGATAGCAAGCGTACCGTGTACGATGAGCAGGACCGGTACACCACTCTTCACGATCTTGTTGGCTTCCCCATCGGCCCTGCATGTAAGAGTCACGGAGAATACTGAGTACATCACGTTTCTTGCCAAAGGAGGAGACACGATATGTCAGATGAGCATCCGAGGCCATTACGTTTTTCCTGAGGTTGAAAGATCAACGATGGCTCCCTAGATTGGCGGTATTTTAGGTGACGCTAAATGTAAATTTCTCGCAATATCAAGAGCTGAGCAAACCGGGAGTTGGACACTCGTCATAAAGCCTACATCTTACAAGCGACAGAATGTTGGTGCTCCACCAAAACTGTACCAAAAGTACACCAAAAATTTGAGATGACGCTGGCAAAGCAAGCGACGATGAAGCGAGGGCCAATACGGTAAGCATCGTCAGCAGATGCCATTGGCTGTAAAGGTATTACAACAGCATGCTCTGCAGACTGGAAATGATATCGTAATAAAGGTAGATTATGAAGAGGAGACAAATCAATCTCATACTGATCTCTTTCTGATAATCCTCAATGGTCCCGGTGGCTCTTCCGTGAACGTTTCTCCAGTGCACGTCCACTGTATACCCATGGCGGAGCGGAACCAAGGAGTCACAGCGCACGCTAAAACCGTTCCAGCTTATACACACAAACTCAACCCGATAGATTCTCCTTACATCCCGTACGAAGAGTGAGTCTCCCAAGCGTTTGAGATCACAATCCTGATACACGACGAGCATGAAGATGCTTTCCGAGGGCCGCGAGCGTTAAGGGGATGCAGGTGACAGGGACAGCGGAACGGTCGGCAAGGGCCCGGGTAAGACGGCAACGACAGCCTTGGCGATTTCTCCGCGGCGCACTTGGCATGTTTTGGATTGGGCAATGAACGACAGGGGGAATGGATGTCAGATTCTGGGGAATTGAGTCTCAAGTTGATCGGCGTTCACACTAGGGTCCCTGCTCGATATGATTGTAGAGAAGGGGAGCAGAGTGGCCTGTAGACCACACTCACAAATGATGCGGAGGTAGATCTGACTGCGGTAGTGAAGACAGATACGTGAAGCTCAAAGTTGGTCTATATTGCACATTTAAACGAGAGACTACAGCAAGATATACAATAGAGAGCGAGCGATATGTATGATACATACCCAAAGATGAATGAACCCTCCAATACCCTTGTCCGATGTGTGCTCCTCCGTGTTGCGTACAGCTTCCGTTTTACTTTAACGCGTACCGATCTCTCCATAGTCCTTTCGGAAAGCCGTCCACCACGTGTGTTGCTGAGCAATACTCTGGCGGGTAACCTGTCAAAACCCTCAATCTTGTACCTTTCTACTGGCGCAGGTTGGTCTTCTCATGAGCATAGTCCTCTGCAAACCGAATTGCCTGTAGCTTCTGGGCGTAATTGACAGCCTCGCTCTGAGAGTTCGATCTGAACGTAGCATCACTATCTCTAGCCTGGTTGTTCCACCTGTACAGTTCCGGGCCAGGACCCATAGACACTGGACGAGAGAAGCGGTTGTGCTGGTAGACTGAGTTGCGCTTGGTGTCCACTCTTGTGTTGTTGGGGAGTGGTTCATGGACAGATAGTACGCGGATCTCTGCAGGTTCAGCTTCCTCGATCGGTGGAATCTTCTTGTAGCGATAGAAAGCATCGAGAGCAGGGATGGACAAGCCATGGACGACGATCGAGAAGATGACAAGAAAGTAGACGACCGGAATCATCGCGGCGACCAAGTTCTCTTCCTCTTCGGTCGAAGCTTCGCCAGGCTTAGGGAAAAGATGGCGGGTGTGCTCGACGTAGAAGACAGCTCCGATACCTGAGATACGTTAGCTGCCAGCGTGCTATGGAGATGCAAGCATTTACTTACCAATGGGTCCGAAGTATCCCATGAATAACGCTTCCTTCCAATCTTTGACACATGCGGGCATAACCTTGTACACCATGAAAATCGCAGGAATTCTGCGAAATGCAAGTATAAGGAACCCGAGGATCATGAGTCTTCCAACACTGATGCCGGTGACCTCTGGCAGCTGGAATTCTGCCCAAGGGATGATGGTTCCAATATACATGAAACCGCCAAAGTTGAGGATGACATCGAAGCAGCTGTTGACTTCGTCGTGGCGCTTCTCTGTTTCTTCCAGGTAGATGCCGTTCCAGTTCATTGCATTACCAGCAACGAAGCAAGCGAGGAGATCGTCTGTACCAAGCGCACCGCAGATACCGATGAGAAACAGTCCCACTGCCATGGGCCAGAGCAGGAGACTCTCGGAGTCGATCCACTTCTTTCGGAGAGAGAACTTGATGGCAAACATGCTGCCAACACCCACCAGCGCCCCGATCGCAACCGACATGAGGATGATGTACAACCAACCTTCGACGATCCATTGCTCCATTGCCATTGGAACACCGCCACCGAGACGGCCAACTCCTTCCTCGCTACGCTTGGAGAGCAAGCCAACCGCGCGGTGGGCGATTTCTTTCACGCCTTCCACGCCTGGCTTCAACTCCAGACCTTCGAGGTCAGCATGGCGTATAAGGTATGTGGCCAGAAGTAGGAATGGAAACCCGAATCCATCGTTGGCTCCAGCTTCCGATGAAATGATCTCGCGTAGTGCACGAGGGACAAATTTGTCGGCAAAAGGACCTTTGGCTACAGCTTGTGACAAGATAGGATCTGTGCAGGTGACACATGATCCAATTACCAGCGCAGCCAAGAACGAAAGCTTTGGGATGGTGACTAGGATGCACAAGCTTGTGCAGATCCACATAATTGTCATGACGGGCAGTAGGAGGATGGTCATCTCTTTCCAGCGACCTTGCTGGTACTTGGCAGGAAGTTGGAATCCGGCAATGACGAGCTGCACGCCAATCACGATGCGGCACATGCCCTTCAGTATGCTCAGCAAGGTTCAATCTCAAGCTTTGCACCATTTTTGCTTACCAGCGTGATGGCCTCCCGCTGACCCTCTGCAGCAGAACCCCATTTCTCGGCGTCCAGGAATCTAGCAGCTATCGGCCCTAGGATGATACCGACCAGAACCGCAGGCACTGCAAAGAATCAGTAAGGGTTTCTCAAGCTGCCAAAGACTGGTTACTTACATGCTTCACCCAAGTACCAGACTTGCTTGATCTTGACTGAAAGAAAGCCATAGCAGATGATGAAGGTACCCAGAATGGCAACGACAATGTTGAGCTCGCTAACATCGAGAGTAGGCATCGTGGAAATTCCGGATACCCGGAGTACGGAAAAGACGGAAGGAGATGTTTAACAAGGATGCATGCGCCGAAGGAACAGCCAGCAAGGTTAAGAAAAGGGAGGAATAATGAAGAACGAAGACGACCAGCGAGAGCAAGAAACTGTAAAAGGCAGACCAGCTGTATTTACAAGTTGATTAAACCGATATAAGCAAGTACAAAAGTTATGGAGAACGAGGGATTTCCGGGACTGGCTCGGAGGGGATAGTGAGCGCAGTGATGGTCGCGAATGCCAGCCTCGATTTCCAAGTTCTTGGGTGCCACGCCTTATTACTTCATATCTTTACACGCGTCACGGACACAATGCACTTATTTGACTTGAAACAGCAGCCGCCAGGACATTCTTGGCTTAGCAGCCACTCCCGCCATTAGGAGGCTTACAACCGAAGCCAAGCGGTGAATTGACTATCGCGGATGGAGCCAAGGTCAGCTGTAGCGCTAGCTTCGAACACGACTTGTGGGACTTTCCGCCTTAAGGCTCAATTCAACCCTGTATGTTACACCTGTAGACATAGAGGAAACAATCTAGGTTGAGACATGAAGACAGTGTTGTGACAGGCTGACCTTGCCTGCCGTGATAAGCGTAAATGAGGAACACTGAATAGCACAGGTTGTTTTGTCCGGTTGTATGGACTGCGGCTCGGCAAGCGTCTCAACAAGACAACGTTAACATGGCTTCTCGACTCTGGGAGAAATTGGTGGCCCTGGAAGGTTTCTCTGCCAAGTCCGCCAAGTCCGCCAAGTCCGCCGCGCTAAATCCAGAAAAACCCCGCTTGGCGATGAAGCGACATCCAGTAGTGATGATATGCAATGCCTCAAGCCAAGTGAAGAGCCTCCCTGTAGATCTCTGTCCTGAAGCTGTGGCATTTTGATCGACACAAGGCTTGGAGACGCGTCCGCTCGGGCGTAAGCGGTATTCGTCACCTATCGCGGCTTTGAGAGATTGTGAGCGTCGCCTGGTGTTATTGTTTTCTTGGGGACGCGCGATGAG